TTTTATCATGGACTTATTTAAAGGCATCGATGCTCAGGTCAGGATTGGGCTGAGTTTAATAGATTAAATCCAGTAGTGATAAATGTAACGTCTCGCCCTTGGGTCCAAAAAGAATCAGCTTCATACACCTAAGATGAAGGAGTCACGGATAGATAGCTAGCAGTTCAGAAGAGCATCTGGGGGGTTAGAGGCTCAATATGAGTCACCTGTGTGATGTGGTATTCAAAAAAAAAAGTTGATGGGACCTTGGGCTACATAAAAAGGGGCTTAGCTTCCAGGAATAGAAATGTGATAGTCCTTCCCCTTGTTTTCTGCCCTCATTAGACCAACCTCCCGGAATATATTAATTATGTTTAGTTCTGGGTGTTGTAATTTAAGAAGGATATTGGCAGACTGGAAAGTGCAAAGGAGCAGTCAGGATGGTGAAAAGTCATGAGTCAGTGGTAGATGAGGATCAGTTGTAGCAGCCAGGCATGCTTGTTAGTTTAGAGAACAGAAGATTCAAGGGAAATGCTATAGCTTCCTTTAAATATTGGAAGGATTGTTGCTTGGAGGAAGAATTTGACTTCTTCTGTTTTGGCCCCATGAGGCAGAATCAGCAGCAACAGCGGGGGAAGTTTCGAAGAGGAATCTTTAGTCTTAATGTCAGGGAAAAAATCCTAACAATTGGAGCCACCCAGAAGGGGAATGAGCTTCCTTAAGTGGTGGTGGCTTCCCCCTCCTTGGAGATGCTGGAGCAGAGGCTGGATGTCATATTATGTTGGGGTATATTATGTTGGGGTATATTATGTTGGGTACTCCCTCTCTGGATGGGTTGGACGCAATGGGCACTAATGTCTCTTCTGGCTCTCAAACTCCCTTATTTAGTCATTGCCCAAACTTGAGTAATAATGAGCCGCTGTAGGATTTGTAGCCACATGACCAAGTCAGAAGCCATTCATCTAATGTCAGTTCCATCCCCTCAGAATATCAAGAAAAGTGTCCAGTGAAGTAAGAATAGGAAAGAGATTGCCACCAGAAAGACTGAGAAAAAAGAATGAAGAAGCATCAAAAAGAGGCCGTGATAAGATTAATCAAGTACTAGGGAGTAAGGGAAAAAAAGATCTTAAATCCACAAAGGAGAGGGAAAATACAGTTCTAACTACTGCAAAATGCTTAGGAATTATAATAGAAAATTTCAGTAACCTCCAAAATGCTTCAGAAGAATAGTAAGATAAAGGAAAAATAAGAACAGAAATTAGAGCCCCAAAAGAAGAAATCAATAGTTAACTAGAGCTGAGGAAAATGGAGACTCCCTCCTGCAGTAAATTTTCTGAAAGATAATGGCTGCTTTGGAACTACAAATGCGGAGAGTGAAAAAGTTGATTGTCAGAACAAATCGGAAGACAAGATCAGGAGATCATATGGACTATATTGAAGTTACAATACACAGAGCTTATTTAGGAGTCATTGGTCTTCAAGCAGAACATGAAATTTAAAAAAAGCCTAATTACTGTACTTCAGGAACTCTTATGAGAAAATTGTCCAGAACTGTTGGAAGCCAGGCAAAGTACAGCTTGGTAGAGTTCATTGTATTAAAAAACTAGAAACCCAAGTTTAACCCACCCAGTTATGTTGTGATTAAGCACCAGAACTTCAGCATTAAATGAAGCCCTTAAGATTTCAAGGAAAAACAGTCCCAGTAGTCTATTTTTCTTTCTTAAGAGCTGAAAGGAAAAGTGATAATATGATATTCCAAAAAGCAAATAAATACTTTTTGAACCCCCAAATAATATCCTACAAATCTGAGCATCAATAGAAATCTTTCAATGAAAAAAGACAGAACTTTCCACCAAAGGGAGAATAAGTCATTCATTTTATAGCATCAGGAAATTTGGGTTGCAAATTTATCAAGTAAAGCAAACTTAAGGAAGGCACACATATCCGCATAGCAAGAAAGGACTGTACAATGAACTCATTCTTTATATGCCTCCATGACAAGGCTTCTTTTATTAAAATTTTTTTTTTATTGTTTCAATAGTTTTTCTCTATACTTTTAAAAATTAATTTAGAAGCCTCATTTTGAGGCATTCATAGGCTCAGTTGACAAAGGCATCCATTACACAAAAAAATTAACCCCTTTTCTGGGGCTAAACTAAGCTGTGTTTTTTTCTTTTTTTTTCCCTCCCAATTCTCATCTTACATGAGGGCCATTGAGAGAACACAGCATTTCAGGATTTACTTCAAAGAGAAGTTGATCAAGAAAGAGATGAGTGTCGAATCAGTATTTCTTGGATCAGAACATGTATTCTAGTATCTGTTAATTAATATCTTTGGGATGGGACCACAGGGATCAAGAGTTTTCAAATGGGGCAAAAAACCCTGAGCACCAAATGTGCTTTTGTGAACCATGACCTTCCCTAGGCAAGAAGGACTCCAGGAAGGGAGGGCAGTCTGGGGCTTAGTAGACCTCCTCACTTCCCAACGTGGGCAAGAGAATAGAAGCCACTGTTGTCTTTGTAATCTCTTGTTTTGCCTGAGAATCATGGAAAGAGCTTGGGGAGAGGTGGAGGTTGAGCATTTGGGACAAGACCTTTGGGGAAACCAAAATGAAGTTCATTCTGGGAATACATTTCTCAAGAGGTCAAAGGGTGCTTGGGGACCTTGGCCTTGTACTAGATTGCATCTGAGTAGAAGGGATACTTCAAAGGACTCTGTTCCCCGGGTGGGGGACTTACTTCTCTGGTTCATGTTCCTTACTTGGGCAAGGAACTTTCTAGGTCTCCAGGGACTGAGGTCCATCAAGGAACTGTGGCTGACCCTACGGGTGATAAGCCTGGTGCTTTTTGGATTTTTAATACAGAACTGTTTCTACCTCACCATATTCCTTTCTTCATGAATTAATATTTCTGGAAATAGAACTCCACAAAAGAAATTCCTTCAGACAAAAAGATGGTGAAGGATAGAAATAAGTAATCACTCTTAGCTGAGCTAGATTCAAGAGCAGGACACAAAGCTTTTTTCCTCTAGAAATTGTCTTACATGAGGGTCATGGAACTTTTTTTTACAAAAGTTACGTGCAAAAGCCTTTTCCCTTCATAAGAAAAAAAAATTAATTAGCATTTCTTGGGAAAGGCCACTCCAGATGAATGTTAGTTGAACTAAGAGATGGGTTGATTAGGGGGAAGGGAATTGGAAGAATTCTGAGGAAGGGAAGGAAAAAAAAGAGAATAGTCATAAAAAAAGTAGATATAAGGATTTTGGACTTTGTCTTGTTTTAACCTATCAGTGGGAGGGGATGATTCTTGGCTAGAGAATAGGATGAGATTAGTGTAAGCAAAACAAACCAGAGGACCCATCGCCAGTTTAAAAGAAGGAAAAATAGGACTTGTTGGAAGAAACACTAAATTGCAAAGTGGGTAAGAAAATAAATTCCAACAGATTGCTGCAGAACTAGACAAGAAACACTAAAACATAAAGACACACACAAAATTAAAATGTGGGACTGGAACAAAATGTATTGTGCTTCATGTGATTTTTAAAAATGGAATTAAAAAATTAAAAAATGATTTTGGATAAAGCAACAGCAGAAAGTTGATAATGTCAGAGAGATAAACAAGAAAACCATGCCTAAAGGTGCCATAGAAGTGAAACAATATCAAGATTAAATATATTTACCAAATTAAACCTATGCACCTCTGACACATGCTGGCTGTGTGAACCTGAGCATAGTATTAAATAACATATATAAATGGCATCTAAGTATTCAATGGAAAAGCTAATGAAAGCGTAAAAAAGAAAGAGTAAGATAATATTTGTAGATGACCTTAACACTTGTCTTTCAGAACTGGATAAACCAGAGAGAAAGATCATAAAGAAGAAAATGAAAAGATCTCAACAAATTTAAGGGAAAATTAGATTTGAAAGACATGATATTTATTGATAACTTTTGTTTTATACCATAATCATTTCCTGATGTACAGCTTTTCCCCTCCCCATAGAACCCTCTCGTAACAAAAAGAATTAAGTAAAACTAACAGGCATAAGCATTTATTAAGCACTTACTATATACCTGGTGCCATGCTGAGCATCGGTGGTACAAATACAAGCAAAAACACAGTCCACGTCTCTAGCAACCTACGTTCTAATAGAGAAAGACAACGCAGAAAAAGGAGTTGGAAAGTGGTTGGGGGTTGGAGGGAGCATGTGTCCAAGTCTAGAATGTCGGGAAGCACAACTGGGAAGGGAATGGAGGCCGGCCAGTCTGCACTCTTCTTGACTCCAGGCCCAGTTCTCTATCTGTGACACCATTCCTTAAAGTAGTAGTGATATTCCCCTTTTACAGATGGGAAAGCTGAAACTCAGAAAGGCTAGAGCTGCGATTCCACAGGTTTAGGGAACTCACTGAGAGGGAGTCTCTCTGCCAATGCAGGTGGTGCCTTCTCTGCAGAATCTGAGAATCTTAAAAGGGTTGGCTGGAGTAAGGGTCTGCAAACTAAGGTGTTGGGCCATCTCTGGCCCTTGGTAACCTGCCCCCCCCCCCAGTGGTTTTTACATTTTAAATTTTAAATAAAGTTTTATTGTATTTAAAACCATTCTTCCTCCTGTGCAGGACAGAAGCAGGCAGCAGCTGGATTGGGCCCTTGGGCTCTCCTGACCTTTTACAGCACAGAGAGGTTAAAAGGTCATGTGGCTTGTCTGGGTGATACCGCTAGTGTCTGAAGCTGATTTGAACTCAGGTCTTTCTGACTTCAGGCTCAGCACTCTACCCACTGCACCATCCAGCTGCCCAGGGTGAAGTGACTTGTTCCAGTGTGTGTCAGAAGCAATGCCTGAACCTGGGTCTGCCCGGCTTTGAGCCTGACTTTCTCTCCACTGTGTCATGCTGAGTGTCGGAGCTCAAGGAATTACAGAGAAAAAGGGAAATCATATAAAAATACGACATCACTACAGTAATTTATACTAAAAACTTAATCAAAAATTCCTAGATGAGCTCACCCTTCCTGGTGATTGCATTTCAGGGCAACAGGGGGGCCTTCAGGCAGGAGTGGACATCGCATGGTGCCTTGGAAGAGACAATTGATCATCTTCGGTGGATTCCATGAGAGTACAAGGTTGGTATTAATGGTTGAGAATTAATTCTGGGAAATACTGTTTTCTCCTGGTTTCACTCTATGGTGAACCAGTATTATTTGCGGGCCCTTTCCTCCCAAACTCTCTGTTCTGTTCTTTAATTTGAAGGAAGATAGTCTCTTTTTTTTGTTTGTTTGCTTTTTGTTTTGTTTTGTTTTGTTTTTAGGCAATTAGGGGTAAGTGACTTGCCCAGGGTCACACTGAGGTCAGATTTGATCTCAGGTCCTCCTGACTCCAGGGCCAGTGCTCTATCCCCTGCGCCATCTAGCTGCCCCTTGTTGGGTTCTTTCTGTAACTCTTGCCTTGTGGGAGCTTGTTCCAGGGGCTCTGCTCCTAAGGGAGGCCAGTGGCTTCTTCTGTGGGTTCATCTGACAGTTACATTCAGCCGTTGAGTTCTTTATTGAAAAGCTCCTCGAGCCTTAGCTTTTGCTCTTTCCTTCATCTCTCTAGCACAAGGAGTGCCGTTATCACCTAGTTGTAAATAGCTTTTTTCTGGATTATACTGATAACATATGTGACTTGTATGAAGTACTGCACGTGCTGGTCTAACGTAGGTATTGGTAAGTTACTGTTCTGAAGACCATGGGAGAAACAGGACATGTTTTCAGGGAAAGCAGAATGAGTACTTTAGTGTTAAGCTTTTTATGCATTGATGCATTTCTCCCTTCAAAAGTCACTCCCTGTGTTTCATGTATCAAGAACACAATTAAGGCTGTCAGCTTGACTCTTTGAAAATGAAAATAGACCATCCTTAAGTTTGTTTTAAAGATAGCTAATTCTTGACCTTAATTGGTTGCTTTTCTGGTATTTCTTTGTAACTGGTTTAATGGTTTGTGTTGTGTTTCCTTTATTTTAACCAGGGATTACATCTATTACAATGATGTGTATGCCTTTAGTCTGGACACGTATACATGGAGCAAGCTCTTTCCATCAGGGACCAGTCCCACACCGAGATCTGGCTGTCAGATGTCAGTCTCCTCCGACGGCACCATCGTCATCTACGGTGGCTACTCCAAACAGGTAGAAGGTCTCATGCAGAAAGGAGACATCGTTGTTTTCACTGTTTTTGTTGTAAGGAAAGGCCTCCTGAGGGACTTGGCTAATAGGTTTTTTTTTAAGTATTTCTTGTTTACTTCTGAGATCAATACTAGAAACAGGTAAAACCAGATTCGCTCTATGGCCCTCTGTGACAGGATGCATTCTTTTTGGAGAAAAGCCACACGCAGGAACACTGCTGTTCTAAGCCTCCCTGTGCCCACCACCATGCAGAGCCAGAGATCGAGAGGTGGAAGGAACTTCTGAGGCCTTGTAGTCTAACCCCTCAGCTTACAGATGAGGAAACTGAGGCTCAGGGAGTTTAGGGGACTTCTGGTGACCCAGAGAGCAGTGCAGGCAGGGACTGAAGCCAGGTCATCTGCCACCGGAGGTGCTGTTCTTTCCGAGATCTCTTCGTGTCTCCTTCCAATAATGAAGTAGGGGATTCTCCTCTTGAAAAGTTCTTATTTCTGAAGATCAGCCTCGGAGCTGATGATGTCAAATAGTTATTTGTAGTGTAGTAGAGATAAAATACCTTGTGGGCCCAGAACACTTGGGTCTGAAACCCTGGGTGCTTTAAAGCAGCCCGTGTCACAGTGGACAGAACACTGCTGGACTTGGGGGCAGGAAGATCTGAATTCAGATCCCGCCCCAGATGCTGACTGGCTCTCTGGCCCTGGGCAAGTGGCTCCACCTCTGCTTGTCTCTATTTCCTCCTCTGCAGAATGAGATGGTGATAGCACCTTCCTCTTGGGGTTGTCTTGAGAATAAATTCGAAAAACACTTTGCAAACCTTAGAGGGCCGTCATTATGATTATCATTAAGAGTACAATCTGGTGTTCTTAAGTTATCAAGTCTTCTGTCTTTGGAGGCTTTTTAATTGAAGGGCAAACATCTTTCTGGCATTGTCAGGGTTGGGTTGGGGTGGAAATAAACTTCCCAAGACTTTTAATTGTAGGGGCTTGTCACATATAATCCCACAGTCACAGAACCTCCCAAGGTGAAAAGGACCTCTGCGGTTAATTAATCTGCCCCACACCTGAACACACATCTCTTCTCTGCAGCCTCCGTCAGGGCTTGTCCGTCCTACATTCGAAAACCTGCAGGGAAGGGGAGCCCATCCCCCTTTTTAATAGCTCTCATTGTGGGGAAGCTTTTGCTCATGCTACCCTGAAATCTGCCTCTCGGCAGCTTCTGGCCTCACTCCTCTAGGATCGAGCAGAACAGAGCTAATTTCTTTTCTTCAGGGCAGTCCTGAAAATACTTGAAGACATCGCCTTCTAAATCTTGTCTTCTCTCTACTTCCCCAGTTAAACTGGTGGTGCTGGTGACCCATTGTGTGTTGTCCTCTCCCCATCTTGGTCCCTTTCCTCTGGATGGATGCTGACTTGTCAGGCTTACTCCTAGAATGTGGTGTCCACACCTGTGTAGAGTGCCCTTATTAAGGCTGAGAGCAACACCCTTCACCTCCCGTGTTATGAGCACCACAGCCTGGTTGGCACAGGGGAAAATCTGGCTACTCTAAGAAACAATTCAGTGGCCTAGAAGAGAGCTGTGGTTGAAATGAGATAATTATTAATTAGGGGATGTGATTAAATACATTTGTCTCTTCCCCAAAGATAAACTTTGCCTTAAAAGTGTGAGGTTTTTATTGCTACACTTCTCCTGACCTGCCCTGCTTTCCTTTCCTCTGGTTTCTATAGCAGAGGTTCTTTGCCTGGGCTCTACAAACCAGGTTTGAGGGGTTCATGAATTTGGGTGAGAAAAAAAAAACCTTTATTTTCACTAATCTCTGGCTTCCTATGTGTCCCCATGCATTTTATTTTAGGTATTTAAAAACATTATTTTGAGAAAGGATCCACAGACTTCACCAGACTGTCAAAGGGGTGCATGATACAATAGAGGCTAAGAATTCCTGTTCTCAAGAGAAAGAGCATTTTCATGTTTTCTGGGTAGTTGTATAGAGAAGGAATGTGCCAGTTGCTTTCAGAGTGTTGTGTTCTGTGTGTGGGTATGGGTGTGTAGGTGTGCATGTCTGAGTGTGGGGGGGAGGGTGTGTAGAGATAGGATACAAAAGGAAATCATGGAGGCGCTAATCATGTCACTCCAGCCTAGTTCCCTTGTTTTACACTTGGTCTGATCCAGTTGTTTTCTCGCCCTCATCCCTGTTAATGCTATTTCTGGCTCCTCTATAAACACATCTGGGACTGGGATGTTAGGGTCCAGCTGTGAGGGTTCTGCTATTCTTGTTGGGGGAAAAAAAAACCAGTTTGTTAAAATGGTTTTTGAAAATCTCTTGTATTTTTCTTCTGGTTGCAGTCCTTCCTCCATTTTCATCCTTAAATGCCCTTGGGATGACTCTGTTCACTCAGTTAGACGTATTGATGTCCTTTCTTTAAACCTTCACGGCCTTTACTCTTCGTTGCTTATTTTTACTTTGTGAGATAATGTTGATTGTACTTGTCCATCGTCCTTCTTTGTAAGATTTCACAAATAAATGCATATTCAAAGCTGGTGTTGCTTAGCCACTCTCTTAGCTATATCCTTCAAAAGCCTGAAACCTTCTTAGCCAGTTTGTTGTCTTTTGGGCTCCACTGATCTTCTTGTATACATTGCAGGATAAAATTATGATAGAGTCAATGGCAATGTCATTTCCATTGTCCATTTCCCATTTTTTACTTTTCGTTTATTTGTTTAAATTTGTTAAATTCAGGGTTAAATTGTTTCACTTGCACACTGCCTCTTTTTCTCATCTTCCTTCTTGCTTTCCATGAGTCTATGGTCTGGTTGTATGTAGCCAGCTGACTACTGTGCACATCATAAGAAGATGTCTCCTTCCTGTGAAAACATTAGTTCCATTCTTTAGGGTGTTATTTGGTACTCACCAAGTGTCATGCCTGCCCATTGAAGAAAGAGTTCATGATACTGTGAAGATTCTGCATAATCTACAGGCCCCTGGCTCCTCATTCCCTTTTCTGAACCAGGCCTTGCTGGTTTGCCTCCTTCCTCACCTTTCTCCACCTTTGCATTGAAGTCACCAATGTCACCGTGCAGAGTGATTTAATGTGGAGGACCTCGAGTTCTTTGTAGAATTTCTCTTGTGCATCTTCAGCAACATCCTCAGTGTTGGCACATCAGCTGCAGTTATTTTCATGGTGGTCTTTTTGCAAATACATATCATTAAGACTGCAGTATGTGATGATCAGATATCTCATGAAAAAATGTTTCCTTTCCCTTTTGAGCATGTTCTCAAACCCGCCCAGCCAGCTCCACTATTCATCATGACCCCTGCCTGGGGTCCCTGTGAGCCGGCCTCCTTAGCTGCAGTGTTCTTCTTTCTTCTGCTTTGGTTATTTAGCGAGAAAGCCCAGACTTACATAGGTCACCCCTTCTAGCAGCTGCATCCCTTGGATGGTCGCTGTACGGTGATCTCACATTTAGAGCACTAGTATTCAAATGAAAGTTTATTAGGAGTCTAAAAACTGTGTTAATGATTCTTCTCACCCTCTGGCCCATTCCCACTGCTCTGTAACTGTCACTGCAGATGCAGGAGCGGATCACACAGGCCTGAGAACCATTTTTTGTTTTTTTTCTTTGTTTCATCAGTTGCTGTGGCTAAAAAAAAATCATCACCAGGTGACTAGCCTTCAGGTGACATGCCCTCCTATAGTCAGCTGGGTTGGTCCTTAGGGAGCAGAGTTGGTCTGTTACTGGAGTCTTATTGAGTAGGTGGTCTTAGGGAGGTGCACCCCTAACACTTATCTAGCATATTTCAGTATATAAAAAAACAGTCAAAATGAATTCCTGTCACATTTTGGAAATCTACATTAAAAAGACTTTACCTGAGTCATAAACGTATTGCTCTTTATTTTCCAATTCTGTTCCAATAACCAGACATAGAATGTAAACAGACAGTGCTCACAACATACATTCACTGAGAACAACAAAGAAAATGAACCAGGAAAGTTCTCTCTGTCTTCCAGGAGACATAGGGAAGCAGTTGGCTTTTCTGCTAGGGCTGAAGGGGTTAAACTCATGTTAGAGGGCTTGGAGGGTTCTCTCTTGCTCAAAGACCTTGCCTCTCCTCCTCCTTCCCCACCCAGGGCCCCACTCTGAAGTTGCTCAGGGTTACCTTGTTTTATCCCGTGGGCTGGGGATTGGGGGGGCACTTTCTCCGGGACCACCCATAGTTTTGTGTCGCTTGGTGACATTGGCTAGCATCTCCCCAGTTGAAGATGTGGAAGAGAAAGTTCCCTCCCCTGACTTCTTTGGCATCATCAGATTGCTCAACAGCAATTCAATTGCGTTGAATCAGTGGGGAAATGACTTTAAGGAAGCTGTCTCTACGGCCTGAGAGCCATTGAGCTTTTCCGTCGGACTTTCAGCTGAAACCTCTTTTCCATTAGCCTTCCCTGTTAGAATATGTGCTCCTTGAGGGCAGGGACTGTCTTGCTCTTCTGTTCATGTCCCCAGCTTTCAGCACATGCTTTGCACGCGCCTGATAAATGCTTTTTCATTCAGTCTCTAGAAGGCCAAGGGTCAAATCTTTGCCCTCCCCTTCTGCTTGTTTGAATGAATGAATGAAAAGTGTTTATTAAGTGACTTGCCCGGGATTACTCAGCTAGTAAGCGACTGAGGCTGGACTTGTCAGGTCTTTCTGACTCTAGGCTAGTGCTCTGTCCACTGTGATACCAGCTGCCTTGAGGCAACCTAGTAGACTAAGTTATAATTCAGTTGTCCAGCAGGACGTAAATATGTGTTGGTAGTTGTGGTTCTGGTTCGGTTGAGGTGAACCGTTCACCAGGGCCTTTCCTTATTACCTTTGTTCTCCTTGGAGATGATGCTGAGAGGATGGCCGAAGTGGTTGACACAAAATGGAGAATTGACTGAGTTTGAGCTGCCTCATTGGAGCGTGCCAAGGACCTCGTTACCTCTTTAGCATCTTCTTTTATATATGAAACGATAAACCTGTATGTGCCAGTGGC